ATTCCTGTTTCTACGAAGTCTTTCCACCCTGTTGCAAGGATTACTTGCAGACTATTTTGTCAAGTTTTGCGAGGTTCCCTCAAACCACGTTCCCAGCCCCAAGATTGGCTTGTTGTGGTGAGAGCGCTTAACAATGAAAGTAGGAGTACGAATGTTAAGACATCTTTGGCTCTACAGGGTGAAGAACAGACCGGAAGACAACACACTGATCACAATACCACCATGATGGGTGAACGAATCAGCGTTACATCTATAACCGCGCTTCCAGGGCATCGCCAACCACAACCGCTCCTCGTATCGCGTGTACACGCGACGTGCTTCGCCCTCAACCGTATTCCGCCTTCGAGGGCTAAGTTAACTTCGAAAAACAGTCCATTAGAAATCAAGGTAGAGGTGGTCAGTGGTGCAGGGATGAAGAAAAAACCATGAGAAACGGCCAGAACCCGAGAAATGGGACCTTCCTTGCCCGTTGATTTCCGCATTGATGCGACTCTCATCGGTGCTGCCCTCTTCAACGCTAACGCTCTCTCTGCTAACGGCTAGAGACCTGCGGCGAGTGGTTAGCCAGTCGGTGGGCGTGCCGCGCCGATGGGGAGGGCTATGCTAGATGTCAAGGGCTGCGCCGTGGTTGAGGAATTTCTTGACCCTTATTCACCCTGTTGTGGGGGCACGTTCAGGCTTGAGTAGAGAACGGGCGGTAGGAGATACTCCAGCTAAATAACACCTCACGATTTCTACCCTTGAAGTCTTGTTTTGCACATTGCGTAGCGATCTTACTTTAGGCGGAATTTACGTCATATTGTAATAATTACATGGCGTATTTTGAAATTTATTCCATTAAGATCATCGCAAACTTCCTGCTTCGCTACAAAATTTCGGCAGATCCTCTACATATGCCAAGCACGAAAGCCACGAATGAAACTGGAACTATGAGAAGGCCATACCCCTATCACATGCAATTTGAACGTCGATAAAATGCCTTGCCTTATTTTTTGATGTTTATTATGCCTTTATTGTCTCAGCAGTTGCTATTTAGCATGTCTATCAACGTGAAGCCACACCTACTCCACATTGGTGGCTGATACAT